TAAGAACACGCCTCTTATGCTTCTCAAATCTTACTTATCAGATCGATCTCAGAAATGTCAAGTAAATGGGGAACTTTCCACATTAAAATATGGAGTTCCTCAGGGTTCAATTTTGGGTTCACTTCTGTTTTTAATTTATATCAATGATTTGCCGAATTGTTTACCACATTCTACAGCACGCATGTTCGCCGACGATACTAACATTACAGTGTCCGGTAAATCAATTAAGGAAGCTGAGGTGGCCGTTAATGCTGATCTCAATAATATCAGAGAATGGCTTCTATCGAACAGGCTCTCTCTTAACCTTGTCAAAACGGAATATATTTTGATTGGATCACGCCACAATATTAACACGTTAGAAGAACAACCGCGTGTTTTTATTGGAGATGAACCAATTAAAGGGGTTCAAGTTACAAAAACTCTTGGAGTCAAAATTGATCAATTTTTAACTTGGGACAGTCATATTGACCAAATTTCAAAAAAAATATCTTCTGGAATAAGTGCCATGAAAAATATAAAGGATTTCACTAATTCCGATACTTTGGGGTCGGTCTATTATGGTCTTGTCCAACCCCATTTCGACTACTGTTGTGAAGTTTGGAATTCCATTAATAGGGAGTTTACGATCTGCGACGCGGCCGCCTCGACGACGCGCTTTCAAAACAAAACTTTCTATCGCCATGCAAACCCACAAAGATCTTACAAAGAAATTTGTCATGCAAGACAAAAACTGTCAATAATTTGTGGTCCCACGAGTATTGTCAACCGCGTTGTCATTCTCAACACAACGTTAAAAAAGCATTTTCACGTCTTTCAGGCAACGCGAAAGCTTAATGCGACACAAGAGGTGTTACTAAAAGTCGAAATTACAACAAACATTGCATCGCTTTAGCCGAACGTAGCATTTTGTAAGGTTATTTGAAAGAGTCAAATGTTTATTACAGTAATCGAATTGCTTAGCGCTCATTCTTGAGCTAAAATTTAGACCGCGTCGTCGAGCCAGCTGCGTCGCAGATCGTAAACTCCCTAATATAGTATGAACGACTACAAAAACTTCACAACAGATGTGCTAGAAATATAATGAACTTTAAAGATGAGCCTGGGCAATGTCAACTGGCCCTCGATCAATTAGGGTGGATAAGCTTGGAAGAAAGGCGAAAACATATTATGGCCCGTCTCATGTTTAAGGTTGTCAATAATTTGGCACCATCGAGGTTCTCATCAATGTTCCAGAATTCTAACCATATCCACAGTTATAATTTACGAGGTTCAAATTCGTCTCTCTTTCTGCCACGACCAAATACCGAGTATATGGCAGAAAATGTTTTCGATATAGTGGGGTTAAAATCTGGAATAGCATTCCCGAACAAGTAAGAAACAGCGAATCTTTAAATTCTTTCAATAGAAATATTTTCTCTGTTAGTCTGACGAATTAGCTATTTGACTTTTGTATACCATTTGTTTTGTAATATGTATTTGTATTCGTAGTTCTTAATATTATTTTTAGTGATTTTGTATTTTATATATTTTTGTAACATTTATCTAGGCCCCACTTGGAAAGCAGCTCCGGTTCAAGTGGCCAGCGTAGTCAAATAAAGTTTTATCCTATCCTCCTATCCTATCCTAGTCTTCATTCGTCTAAATATCAAGCTAAATATCACTTTTAGTGACTTTAGAAACAAAATACGAAATTTGAATTTTTCATAGTTAAATTCATTTATTGATATATAAATGTATATGTATTAGTTAATATATAGTTCTCTAAGATATTTGTTAAAATTAGCTACACTGTAAATTCGAGGGTAAATTAAGTTTATGTATGTATGTATGTATGTACGTATGTATGTACGTAATATGTATGTACTGTATGTATGTGTGTATGGAGCTGGGTTAACAGCGTGTTGTCTCACTTTTCTTGCTGTTCGGAGTTGCTCATTATGCTCCTTCCTCAATTGTCTTAAATTATGTATGTATGCTCACTTGGATTATCCACAAAATCCAGCATTCTACTGTAGCTCAACCAAGTGAAGTGCCATAATATGTACATCTTTCAAACTCACCTAATCACAACCCGCACACCTGAAAATCTAAATAACATTCAGAACTTACGGTTACGGCTCAAAACTGGCCTCCGTAGCTCAGTTGGTTGGAGTGCTGCACCAGAATCGCAGGTTCAATTCCTGCCAGAGATCTAGTGTTGCATTTTTCGCAAGCGTTCCTGGTTAAATATGTATATATGCTCACTTGGATTATCCACCAAACTCAGAATTCTACAGTATTGAAGTCTGTTATTTAAAATATATCTGCTAATAGTACTTGTTTTTATTCATTACACTAATAAACTACAAGTCAAGGCAACATTAAGAAAGCGTTTTGTAAAAAGGCTCAGACAAAATTTTGTCTTAAATATGATCATAAAGATCATGTTACACCAAGATTTCATGGTGAATTTTCAACAATTTCATTTCATTTCATTTTATTTGCCCATATGGAAAAGTTAATATTTACAATCTTCAAAGTATACAATATGACGGGCTAGGAGCCTTCATGAAACCCTTTTAGGCTTTTTGTTCAAAGGCCTCTAGTTCTATATTTTTACAATTGTTTTATAAATAATATAATAATAATAATTTTAATATTTATATAACGCAAAATAACATTGATATTATGATCTAATGTCGAAAGAATATAGGAATATTTACAAATGCAAGTATAAAGCACAAAATAAAGTAAGGAAAATGTTAAACTAAAAGTAATAATGAGCTAATTGAACAAAGTCTACAGATAACGTAGGTACTAAAGTAAGGAACGACCTACAACGATCTACAACGACGCTACAATGACCTACAACGATCTACAACCACCTACAGTACAACGACGCTTCAATAACCTACAACGACCTAAAACAACCCTATAACGATCTGCGAAGATCCTACAACGACCCGTCTCGTATGTATTGAATATTTTCCGAAATTTTATAGTCTATTTAGTGGTAATTTGTGAATTTTCGCAAATATTTCTGAAACTACTCCCAATTGATATGGGTTTATGGGCGAATTGGGACTAACTTTCGTATGTGCATTACTGTGACCACTATGGTTCAGCTCATGAAAGGGCGCTTGATCTTTTGAAGTTTGCCGGCCTTTCAAACCCTCTCATTATATTAACTATGCTGTGACACAACATATAACTCGTCTTAATCGACAGTGCATTTACATTTTACAATATTGCAATTTTCACTTATTTAAATCAACACGAAGTAACAGATGACATAAAGTCTCATCTACGCCTCTACTACCCAATTTATCTCTATGATTTATCCCCATCCCAATTCATTGTTATTAGAGACTTAGAGTTAACAAAAACAGTACAGGTATATAATTATAAGTGATTACTTTGCCGTCGAGTTCCTTGAGTCTGTACCAAGATTGTACAGTTGTCGTAGATAGTGCAACTAATATCAAAACAGGGGCGTAGGAAGTGTGGCGGGGGCAATATTATATGGGGGTGGAATATCTTTCGCCCCCCAAAAAAAAGTTAAGTTGCCTAATCTTTGTTACCTAGCAATAATCCTTATCAAATTCATTAATAATTCATGAGCAATTCAGCCAATGATAATCACCTATTTGATCACAAAATGCCATTTAGATAACCCGGTGAAACTTGATCAGTTTTCATCAAATATCTAAATTACGCATGCAAAATTACTTGAATAGAATTCCTAATTACGTTATGCTTGGTTAAGAATTCTATTCAAATCAGCAAACGAAAACATTCCGTTACGTCTCGATTCATTTGAGAAGCCATATAAACAACTCGAGCTCGTGTCTCACCGGGATATCCAAACACTCGAAAACAATGTATATGAAAACACTCGCGCTCGTGTTTTCATACATGGTTTTCTCGTGTTTGGATATCCCGGCGAAACACTCGCTCTCGTTGTTCATATATTACATCTTTTGGTATAAGCCTGAACTAGCCTACCAAAAGAGGTATATAAAGCCCCGTTTACACTACGCTGAATTTTTGGTACCGTACCACTCTTTGGTTCTTGGACTACCTTTAAATTTCTCCTGCGACATTTTGATTGGATACTAAATATAAACTTTGTTGTGGGTGGAAAGCGGATTAAGGTTTGTGTCAGGCTATTATTTGTAAAATAGAACCTGATACTTAGGTTATGATCGTCATGCATCGCGACGTTCAACATAAGTCGTTGTAAGTCGTTGTAGGGTCGCTATGTAGATCGTTGTAGCGTCGTTGTAGATCGTTGTAGGTCGCTGTAGATCGTTGTAGGTAGTTGTAGGTCGTTCCTTACTTTAGTACTTACGTTACAGATAATAACAATTAAGTATATTTTACAAGAAAAATATTTTTGACTTTTTCTTAAAAGTATAATAAAACATAATACTGCTAATTTCTTTATCTAGTGAATTCCATATCTTAACTCCCTTGTTAACAATAGTATGTTTTGCATAATTTGTTCTACTAAAATTTACATGAAATTTGTTAGCATTTCGAGTATTGTAATGATGCACTTCATTTTTCTGTGTGAAGTAGCCATTAAAAAAATTCAGGTAAATTTTGTAGACGTTTAAACCGGTACATAAATAAACAACTTAAATAGTCATTGATCTTAAAGATATTCAATGATATTGTATCATTTTTTCGAATACCTTTTGCCAAATTTGGACCATACATTAAATTTGTTAGCAATTACATGAACTGGGTCAGAAAAATTAATATCTGAGTTTTTTTGTTGAAACACGTGAGAAAGTTTTTGCTTCTTTTATTTCTATTCAATAGTTTATTTATAGTTTGCCATGTCACTTTGCTATTGTTTTTGTAATTAATAAATTGATTTTCAAAGTAATCTTTTTTACTTATTTTAATTAAATGTTTTAATTTATTTTTGTAATTTTTGTAAATAGTTTTGTTCTTTTCACTTGGGTTTTTTAGACACTTTTTATAGAGTCTGTTTTTAATTCCAATAGACTTGAGTCATCCAAGGGCTTTTATGGTAATCAATTATATTTCTATGTGTACTTCAATGTTTAATGAGTACTTCTGCACCATGTGCTTACACAGTGCCGTAGCTTGGACCTTTTGAATGGGGTGGGGGGGTGAAGCATCCGATATTACCAACTAAATGGGCGTGGCCCTCAACAAATATAGGCGTGGCATATCAACCATATCTTACCAACCATTTGAGATTATGGCTTATCAAACATTTTAAGTATAGCAGTCAGTGCACAAGATACACAATTCATTTGGTTTTGTAATGGTAATTGCAATGTAAATTAAATGTTATCTGATCTATAAATTTGCTGAATTATAAAAGCTGGTGTTTGAGATGACTGCAAATTTGTTTGTATATTTTAAAGCTATTCTAAATTATAGAATATATGCCAAAAAGTTTCAAATCGTTTAAAGTCCTAAGAGCTCGGAAATGCATCTGAAATGCCACTACACTATTCGTTTGCATTTTGTACTTTTTGATTGTAGGCCACCAACCTAAATTTACAACTAATCGGTCCTACCAGTGATTCCTACCTACCATCGCAGGTTCGATTCCTACCAGTGATTACTTGCATTTTTCACATCTGTTCCTGGTTAGGTTTAATAAATGTATATAAATTTCCACATCGCTGGATGTTAAATTTACACAATTTATGCAGACTGTTAGTGGTCAACACATTTATTCCGTGCAATATATCAAACGTCATAGAATATTCCTGGTTCTGTATACTCGTTGCAATCAATTATCATACTGCACAGACTTTAACTTGCCCCTGGCAAACACCCAGGATTGTGAAATAATTCTATGTTGCAAGCACACAGCATTCTTGTGGTTGGTGCATGAGAACAACTACCACAGGGGGGCATGGAGTTACAAACTTACAATAGATCTGAATTTTATTTTTTATATGAATTAACGTACAGTATGGACCTACTGTAATTGATAGCTGATAAAGTCATAATTTTGCATTACTAACATACTAGTGTGTAATCACACTTTAAGTGAATAATATGCCAAGTGTTTGAATACAGCTGTGAATGAAACTGAAGATAATGATAACATAACACTTCAACAGTTGTTGTTCATTCGATGTTGAAATTGTGGTCTCACCTATTTGACGTTCAAACGGGCATCTCACCTAGTCAAAACTGTACAGGCCTTTATCACAGATAAGCCTGTATAATGAACAACCACAGTGAATAACGCTCAATAGACTGTGAAGTTATCACAAATTTTTATGAAAAATACCTTAAAAATAGCTAGAAAATGGGTTTCAAATAATCTACTTTTG